AATGACGTTTTTTCAATGAAAAAAGAGGGGCGATGATGCAACGACAAAGGAGCTCTCGCGGCTTCGACCCTAGCATCGTTTGGAGATGATCGTCTCCTTTTGCCACAAAAGAGGAACCTAACTTGATCTGAACCTCATCAGAGGACGACGGTCCCTGAATTATGAAACTTTCACTTTGCCCCATTTTTTCGACCAACACCATGACCACCATGACAAGCACTCCCTACCGTACCCTACACCCCCCAACGGTTTGTCCGTCTGCAACGAAAACTCGGCGGCAGAATCACAAATCAAGGCTTTCATGAACTGTCGGTTTACCTTGACCAAGCCCAAGCAGAAGGACAGTCTGTGCGCATTTGAACATACCATCGCCATTCGTGCATCGCACGATTCGCCCTCTTCGCGACCAGACGTGTCTGCCACGGGTGCTTGGACTTTTTCGAAGCCCTTACACAAACCGAGAAGCATACAAGAAGACCCTACTAGCTAGAGAAAGTTCGAAAGAAAATAATGCCAAGAGGATACCTAAAGAACTGCACCGGGTCCGGGAAGAAACGAGGCCGAGGCGGATCAAGCCGCCGTACCGTTGAGAGCGATCGTGCAAGAGGCAGTCTGGCCCTCGCACAAAGAAAAGTTGACTTGGAAGACAACGCTTTTGTTTCGGAAGACAGCAAACGACGCTTGCAGAAAGCTCGTAGGAGCCGGGGAAGAAGAGGTCAACCGATTGCTGATCCAGAGAGAAACGACATAGTTTTGTCTGGACCCGAGCAACTCCCCAGACGCACCATGCAGAAACCCAACATTCAAAAAGTTCTGCCTGGTGATGCCGGTACAACGACGACGGGTACTTGTGCCATTTGCTTGGAAGAAGACGTCGCTCTGGTTAGACTTTTTAAGAATTGCCAGCATGCCCTGGCATGTAGCGCTTGTCTTCGACAAGTCTACGTCAGGCACGCTCAAAAAGACGTCGCCCAATACCCGTTGCGGTGTTTCCATCCATCATGCTCCAAGATCCTGCAGCAGACACAGCTTGAGCGCCTAGCGTTGGATTCCGCCGAATTGAGCAAACATTATCGCTGGACTGTCCTGGCAAAGAGTTACCAAAATCCCCAATCCAAAGTCTTGCACTGCCCCTCCTGTGATCATCCACGTCAAACAGCCCAACAGGCGCTGCCGACACACGACCAGCTACAAACCTTTTCCTGCAGATCTTGCGGTAGCACCTTTGGGCTGCACCATTTCTTGGCGGGAAAGGAAATACGCTCACGTGTCCTCGACGCAAAGGCCACGCAAAACGAACGATCCTTGCAAGCATACCGTAGGCGCCGAGCGATCGGATCGACCATGGACATGCAGAAATTTTTACGCCGAGCCAACGCAATGTTTTTTCGTGAAATGGCCAAGGAAAGAATCAACTCGAGTCGGGCGACAACTGTCCGCCAAACACGACGTGTTTTGGAGACCCTTCCGAGCGACGGGGTCGGCCAAAATTCTGGTTGGACGCTATGCCCTCGATGCCGGATTGTGATCAGCAAAGGCGATGGCTGTGATCATATGAGATGCGTGTGTGGTTGGGACTTTTCGTGGAGAGAAGCTCGAGAATACTGGCGGGAAGCGCAAGGTCTCTAGCTAGCTGAAAGCCATGTCCTAATCCCAACCACAATAACCAACACAGAACCTTCGTATACGTAACGTCTAGGGCCAGTCACGACTAGTAGCCAGCCATGGCAGCCGGAATACAGTGCTACCGCATCTACCGGTACCAGTTCCATACCTAGAGTAGTACCTACCGGTAGCTAGCTAGCTAGCTAGCAAGCCAGCTGAAAAGCCTCAAACATACTGGACCGGAAACATTCTTCAAGTGATACCAGTCTCCCTCATGCAAAGCCAAACTAGCTGGCTTCGTGTGTTTACCCATCTTTACTGGCCAAAACAACGAGAACCCGGAAGGTTCTCTTTTTCTTTCATTTGATCGGCTTTTCCTTGTGGCCTTATTACAGCAGGAATTACAGTGTTTCTGGGTAATGGTATGGTTTGAAGGTCTTTCATTATCATGCATGCATAGGCTGAGACTCGAACGATACTGTACCTCAATGTTCGAACCTCAAACTGCATCCAGCTAGCCACGAGAGCTTCTACGAGCGGGCTAACAGGAGACAGAAAATCCATCCAAACTGACGAGATCCATGCAACCTGAGGGGTGATTTCTTTCTGAATCTGTGGATGAGAGCCTTGAATGAATTTCAACTTCCTGTATCGAGTTGCGGGTTGGTGGCTTTTGGGATACCCACGCAATCTCATTGCCCTTACCTGATGGTTGAGTATGCCATAGTGCCTGAGCATGATATGCTAAGGGATGTGTAAATAATCAAGCACAACCAAGAAAGGTCAAATAGACTAGTCTATGTTGCTGTGAGAATCTGATGAAGAGGAATATTACAGTATCTAGCTGGCTGGTGGCAGTCGGCCGCTAGGCTGGTCTTGGAGCATTCTTCAAGAGTGCAATTTCACGTAATTTTCCGGGACCCAATATAGCCTTCAGATCTGAACCGGTAGAAGAAGGCTATGGGTGAAAAGTGTCATCTCTATGTCTAACAAGACGAGCTTTGCTCGCTTGTACTGTACTCTCGTTCTCTGCGTCATCAATTTAGCAAAGGTAAACAAGCGAAAGGAAAGAGAAGAGGAGAGCGACCATGATGGGGAATGATGGCATCAGTTGCGTGGTTTTACGTACTAGCTAGCTAGTAGTCAGAAACATCTGCATCTGCATCTTGCCTGCTTGCTTTCGCGAAGTTCCGGCTAGAGAAGGCTTCTAGTAGTAGTAGTATAGCTGACTTGTTCGCATCACTCGGCCGCAGCAGCAACAGCAATCACAACGACTACATTCCTTCTTAGCGCTCAACAACAGTAAACAATCTAAGTCTAAGAGAGATACCCTCCATTGTCTTATCTCTAGAGCTAGGCTAGAAAGTACAGTATTGACTCCACTCCAACCATCACTCCAAAGAATGAAACGGCTACTGAAGATCAAAGAATTCTTTCACCTGAAAAGGCGAGCTTTGACAGAGAAACAAAGCAGTGATCGACCTGGTAAGTGGGCTGCGGAGGCTTGCTGCCACGGTACTAGCTAGATAGCTACCGTAGCTGACTATTGGCTTGGTTGATGCTTGGTTATCGTCGCTCACATTGTGGCTTCCCTATGTTCTGAATTTGTTTCGAATTCTATAGCAAAGCGTCCCCGCAAAACATCAACGAAAGATGATGACGACGACTCCTCGACTACGAGCGCCGCAAGGAGTTCTTCCTACGATACCTTTCTCAAGCTCTTTGAGAACGAAGTTGGCAAGGATATCGTGTGGTGGCTTCCAGGCCGTCTAGGGGAAGCGTTCGCCATGAATCAGGAACGCTTTGAGAAAGAGCTCCTGAAGGAACACTTTGATGGGTATACCCTCACTGGGTTTCTAGACAACTTCAAGAGATGGTACGTGCTGCCGCCATGCATCCTCATGTACTAGACTGATTCTTCTATCGAAAGGATGGACTGACACTTGCTTATTGTTGTTGCGCCCTTATCTATTTGTTACCTAAAGGGGATTCGCACCAATGAATATCCCATCTTTGTCGGGTCGGGTTTTGACCTTTGAACGGGGATCTCCAGCAGGTACGTTCGGAGCAAGACACCAACCAGAAGGCAGTAATAGCAGAGACACGGGTAGCTCAGGGCGCCCGCTGCTGGTCTATGGTCAAAGCGCGCTCCCGCAATTGGTCTATGGGAATCTTGCCTCCGTGTTACCCTTGCAAAACCAGGGAGCCACACCGAATCTGATGGCTCCTCTGACTCTTGGCGGAGTGGCTGTGACAGCCAACTCGGAAGCATTAGCGGCACAGCTGAGCTCACTGCAAGCGCAGCAACAGCAATTGCAGCAGATTGGGTACGTATCCCAGCAAGAGATCTCCCAGACCTACTTTGCCCTTCTTTGGCAGGAATTGCAGCGCCAGCTGTCAGTGCTCTTCCTTATGCAATCCCAATCTGCGGATCCCCAACAGCCTGCGGCCCGGTCAGAGATTGCCGAAGTGGCATCGCTGTTGCATCAGCATCAAATTCAGCAACAAATGGCCGCGGCGCAGTTCTACCAAGCAGCTCTGGCCGAACCCAACCGAATATCGGCATCCACCGACCCGGAAACGATCGTTCGTGAACTCAACGAACTTCGGCAACAGCAGTTGTCAAATCTGACCTATCAAATTGTCGCCCTCGTGGCCGCCAGTTTGGAGCATCAGAATGAGAATCCTCCGCAGCAAGCGAGGGATTCGTCCTCCGTCTTTCACAAGATACTGGTCAAGTATCTATTGGCGCTCGTTCTTTTGCAACTGCAGCAACAACAGCAGAACTTGGAGTTCTTGCGACAAGAGAAAACCAATGTTCTGGCAATGATTCGGTCTTTGCGTGGAACTGCTGCTGGGGCGTCCGGTACCGGTGGTGTCACTTCCGCAATTGGGGCATCTGGTAGCACGGCCGCAGCTGGCAGCTCTAGTGCTTCTCTAGAAGCTACTGCTACTGCAGTACTAACCGGTGCCTCTGGTGTCACTCCTGCTAATGGCGCATCTGGTTCGAGCGCAGCAGGTGCTAGCACTGGTACTTCCACCACTGCAGCCACAGGAGCAGGTGCTGCGCCGACTGCACAATCTGGTAGCAGCAGCAGTTCATTGCTCGATGCACTCCGAAGCGGCTCAGTCGGTGCCAATGAAATGGCCTTATTGGCTGCCGCCACCGGTACCAATGGACTCACTCCCGCCACTGTTGCGAGCGTTCAGGCATCTCTCAGAGGCATGATCGCTTCAACAAGTCAGATGGAACCACCAAGGGCGGCGGCGGGTGCTCCAAATGCCCAGCAAGATTCCTCGACAATTCACAACGGAGCTCAAGGAGCTTCTACTGCATCACCAAGCAGTAACCGTAGTGTGCAAGAACCTATCACTTCTGAGCAAATGCCACACATGCTCGCGGAAGCAGCAATGCTGAGCCTTTCTCGGGCACATCAGCTTTTGGCCGAAGCTGCCTTGCTCATTCCGTTCACCATCCCGCAAAATCAGCAGCAGCAACAACAGTCAGGCACTTTCTTGCCAAATCAAAACAATATACCTGCTGCCAATATGCCCCCTGCTGCTGCGGGTGCGGGTCCACAAGAAAATCCTTTCTCAGGGGTAGGGCCGTCGACGTCGGGCGCAGCTTCCACAAGAACCACAGCTGCTCGATAAGAGTTCTGCATCGAGTATCATCTCTTGATACGTTTGATTCATTTTCTGGTCGATAATTTGCATTTTGCATGACTTTCTGCATTGATGGTTACATGATAGATCATTCCTGTTCACTTTCTGCATTACATTACAATACAACACTCCACTTTCAATATTAGACGGTTCAGTCCGTCTGTTTTTCATCTTTGCATAATGGTAACCTGAATCATGCATTTTTTACGAAGGTACGGATGCTGTTGCGGTAGGCATTGCACCTGTTGATTGTCGGTAAACGGAGTTTGGTTGCCCATCAAAGCATGGTTTTCGCTTGAAATGATCATTTTCCATTGGCATTTGAAGCCTGCAACATAGCTACTGTCGAAGATTCAAAACTCGTCATCCAATTCACAAGACAGCGCAACCTGACAGTACGTGTTAGCTACGTGTTGGAAGATTCTCCCTCTACAACCCCCGATTTTGTGGAGGAGATTTATCAAATTTTTCAAGCGGCGCTCCGAGCGTGACCTCCACCCGTCATCACGAAACGAGAGTTTTGGCAATTCGAGGTGGTCCATACTCACAGGCATGTTCTAACATAGCTAGTTACAGGCATGTTCTGACATAGTTAGCTCCTACTGGCAAGCTGCAGCAGACTCCGAGGTAGATCTAGCTAGCTAGCACCCGTTACAGTACTAACAAAGTTTGAAAGCCGCTGTACTATTCCTACAGTATAGAATTATCATCATACTGGAGAGCACACCTCCTCGAACCAGAAACCTAAGGGTTTGCTTGGTTAGGTAGATACCCGCTGAGTTCCGTCAACATGCAAGTGCGGGTGTGGGGTTTCGGTTTGTTGGGCAGGACCTAGGTCTAGCTAGGTGTTGGTCATGCCATTGGGCCAGGGGTTGGTCGTTGAGAACGGCCAGGTGTACCCGTTTTGGAGTTGGGCTGTTCGTCCATACATCAGCTGGGCTGTTCGTCGAAGCATCGGCTCCGCCGTTGGCCGTGAATAGGGATACGTGAAGGTGTCTACGATGTATCGCATTATGCTCATCCTTTGCAGTGCCGCGTGTGCCCGCGAAAGATCCGTGTCCAGAATTTGCCGCCTCTCCCGTTGATATCTTCTCCCTTGCGAAACTCATGAAACTTGACCCCACACACAGGACAAGCCTCACTATCTTCTGGCACCATGGCTAGCTGGTTTCGTTGATGCCCTTGCTGAGGATGAAAATTCGGCTGTTTGGTGCAGACATACATGTAGAGCGTCTCTCGCTCCTTCTTACTGTCGTCAGGAGAATCTTGGCCATGACTATTATTGGAATGAGCGTTGGATTCCATCAGTTCTGCCTTGACTTTTCCCACCCCCAGAGGTATTCTCTGAACCTTGGAAAATCCAGGATACTTTTGCAGGGCGCGAAACTTGGCGCGTGGACTGATACTCACGTAGACTCCTGGCTCTGTATTGTTGTCGTTGTCGCCATCCTTGAGCAAGTCGAATACATTGTCCAAAACCGATTGCACCAAGACGTTTTTTTGGTCACCCCGTTGTCGCGTGCGAAAGGCGAATGTATCCAAGCAACCCTTGTCAATAATCATGTCAAATGATTTTGGTTGAACAGTACTTTTGCTGTTGTCAGGGCCGTTTGGGTGATTGTCGTCGTCGCCATTGTTCTTATGAGGAAAGAGTGGCTCAGCAATGTTGAGAACACGATATTCCAATATCGAGGCGTCCAAATAGTCCATCATTGGTTGTTGCTCCCGTTGAATATCCTCTTGATCTCTTTGTTGATTTTGTTCAATACAAACGGAACTGACATCCGTGGCACAGACGGATACGGATGATAAGTCTCTTTTGGTGGACTCTTGGCGGCAAACACGCCAGAAATCACGGGACAATGTGGACGTCCCACAACCAATTTCCAAAACATGATATCCTTCTCCATTGTTATTGTGCCGTGGCAAAGCTTCCATTAACCTCTGCAAAATGTCATTGGAGGGATGCAAAATCCATTCCTTGTGATGGGTAGCATCCTTTTGGTACAGGTCATTCCAAAAGTCAATTGTCTTTTTGTTTTGCGCTTGAACGACTGATAAGGATGATGAGGGTGCTCCTTCTGACGGAAGTTCAGCCATGGCAGCTCAATGTACGGTCAAAGCTGATATTCCTTCTGGCCAGTAGAACTCCAATGTTTACGTTAGCAGTTAGCTAGGGGATACCCGTTTTCCCCACCCCAGAATCTTGCAAACCCTCCCTCTCTGCCCAACTTATTTTTTTAAACTGCTTGCAATCAGACAGCTTTGGGAGATGGATCATTCATTCGATTCTTGGTGCTTAAAAAACGAGACTTGAATATTTTCCTTTGGATACCCCCGGGACGCTTCGGCTACGGTACCGTACCACCTGCTGGCTCCTTGGCTGCACGAGAAGGAAAAAAGACAGCCAGTACCGCAAAAGGTAGTTACTGGGAACTCTTTCAACCTTGACAGCAGGCAATTGGTTATCTCTTGGTCGTCATCAACACTTTGACGGCAACAGAGATGATGATGGATGATGAAAGGCAGTGGGAAACTTGGTGTCAGTGACAGAATCAAAACGAAGCCAGCGTGAGCTGTTTAAAGTGAATTAGAAAATGCACCCCAGCAGCCTTCATTCCTTCATGAGTTGAGAATCCATAACAAGGTTTGCAATGGAAAGCTAGAGGTATACTAGCCTTAGCGCTAACGCAGGAGAGGTGTCAGCGAGGCGAAGCCGAAAAGGCAAAAGATCTGTGCAGATGACCTCATTTGGGCTTCGGCTCCTTCCATCATTTATTTATTTTTCTTTGGTTGGGAACGCAAACAATCATTCACAATTACAAGAAGCTTCATCGGGATATCCATTACTGCAAGTCTATCTTATATTGGCAGCTCTATCTATCTAGCTAGCAAGCTATCCAAGCTAGCCAGCTATCCAAGCACACACCACTAAATTGATTATGCAACGATTGGTATCTGCTGTTTCTCAAAAGATGACACCACGCCTTGCATCTCCCACAACATCCACTAATTTTCGAGCCGTGGGAATTCGGAACAAAGTATTTTCCAACAACCGTCGCGTCTTGTCGTCGTCTCTTGGAGACCGAACTCTAACACCATGGGATGTGGCTAAATGGGATTGCCATGGTGATTATCGCCAGGAAGCCTCGTGGGAAGACCCTTCCAAACCACTCTACCAGCATCAAAACAGTTTGCCTCGTCTTCCCATTCCCAAGGTAGAAGAAACATTGGAACGATTCTTGCCCACGGCCTTGCCATTGGCGGAAACTCCCCAAGAAGCCGAATCGCTTCAGAAATGCGTCCAAAATTTTGCCCAGGAATCCACTCATCTTCAAGAACGATTGCTCCAGCACAATCAAGAATATTCGCCCAATTCATCCTGGCTGCAGCATTGGTGGAATACCTTGGGATACTTGCAAGTTCGCGACCGATCGCCTATTAATGTCTCGTACTTTTTTCAACTCAAGGATGATCCTACTTGTTTTGTGGGCGATTCGGATGTCCAGATTAAACGCGGTGCCGCACTCTTGTGGCACACGGCCGAATACCGCTACAAAGTGTGCAGTGGAACCATGCCAGCCGAAACTGTGGGCAAGAAAAAAATTCCCCTCTGCAGCACGGCATTCAAGTACATGTTCCATGCCTGTCGTATCCCACAAAAGGATCAAGATGCCTACAGGATCTACGATCCCAGTCGTCATACTCATGCCATTGTGGCCTGCAAGGGACACTTTTTTGCCGTGGATTTCTTGGACCAACAGGGAAACGTCATTCCCGTGTCGGTCTTGGAACAACGTTTGCAGCAATGCGTCGACATGGCTCATGCTCAGGTTCCACTGCTTGAGTTGGGATGGATGACGGCCGCCAATCGTGATGAATGGGCACAAGGTCGCAAGGCATTGTTGGATGCCGGTGGTGTCGCCATGGAAACCGCTCTGGAAAAACTAGAGTCGGGTGCCATGGTCTTGAATTTGGATGTGGACGAGGCTCCAGTCTCGCGCGATGAAGGTGCCTACCTGTGGTTGCATGGAATGAATCCCTTGGATGGTGACACCAAGCCCTGTAACCGTTGGTTTGACAAATCCATCCAACTCATCGTCGCCAAGAATGGAAAAACGGGATTCTTGGGAGAGCACACCATGATGGACGGTATGCCATTGGTCGGATTTGCCGAGCATGTCGCCAAGCATTCTCATCAAGAAGCTGTTGAGGGATCTGCCATCTACAATGGAAACGTCAGTAATGGAGGAGTTGAAAATATTTTCCAGGCTGCCCTCCCTGAGGTGGCGGCATCTCCTGCTGTCCAAAAGGCATTTCAAGAAGGTAAGAAACGAGTTTTCTGGCTACAGAGTGCCGAGTTTGTGTGCTTGATGAACCACTTTGTGACTAAATAATCATGTGCTCCGTCGCTGCTCCCTTGAAACCGCTGTAGCCAAGGAAGAATATACCAAGTTTGTTCAGGCTCACACAATCGAGGTGCAGAGTTTCCAGGCGTATGGATCGGATTTCATCAAGAAGGCTGGATTCTCGCCGGATGCCTACGTTCAGGTAAGTGGCTGTGGCTGTGGAGCATTCCGACTGCAATGTGAATAATACCGGCCGTATGTGTTGTGCCGACCCAACCTCACTCTGTTCTGTTTGACAGATAGCCATGCAGCTTGCCACTTACCGTTTGTGGGGAAAACAGGCCGGAACCTACGAAGCCACCCAGACTCGTACGTTTTTGCACGGTCGTACCGAAACGACACGTACCGTATCGACAGAGTCGGCTGCCTTTTGTGGACTGATGGGACCTGCCCCTCAATATGATGAACATGTGGAGAGCATTCGCAAGAAGAAACTGGAAACACTGCACGCTGCCGTCACGGCTCATGTCAAGTACATGGGCAAGGCCGCTTCTGGCCAGGGTGTGGATCGTCATTTCTTGGGACTTTCCATGTGCGCCAAGGAGGGAGAATCGATTCCGGCGCTTTATTCCGATCCCGTGTTTGCTAGGAGCAAGCGGTGGCGTGTCAGCACCAGCAACTTGACGCATCCCCTGTTCGAGAACTGGGGTTACGGAGAAGTCGTCCCCGATGGATTGGGCCTCAGCTACTCAGTGCATCCCAGGTTCTGCATGTTCAATGTTACGTCTCTGAAGGAGCACGAATGGAGCACCAAGGCTTGCCAGTTGCTCGAAGAAGCCTTGCTGGAAATGAGGGCATTGGTTGAGATGGACCAACAGATGAGCAATCCCCCCAAGAGCAAGTTGTAGGCAGGGCTCCGCGCAATGCGCTCTTCGATGTTTGCGTCTTTATAAAAATGATAACTAAAATAAACAGGCAGAGATTATTTACAAACCTGAAGCTCGGAACAAGGTTGGAAAAGATGGAGCTTTCTGCTAAAATCGTATGAGTTTGATTTGCCGTGCTTTTTTTTGCATCTCTGGCGTTGCTTTGCTTGACTGTCACTCGATCATTGAATGAAATCGAATCGAATCAGAATCAATCGAATGAGTCACTCATTCGATTGAAGATTCGTTGAATGATTCGATTCGATTCGATTCAATCGAATCGAATCATTGCACTCGGTCACACTAAAAAGATCCCGAGGCACGACTGAAGCAGCTCGAGACGTTCTCTTCTCGCACAACTCAACATCCTTGTCGTTGTTGAAGCCTTGTCGTATTTCTCATAAAACTCCAGTAGCGGCGCCCAAGCACCCCGCTCCCTTCCCGGTCAACCTCTCGTAAAAGAATGTCGGATATTGTCTTTGTGTGTCCCGGAACTTGCCAGGGAGCTGCCGCTTCGGAAAGAAAGTGCGTTGCGACTGGCTGCAGCATGCGCGACCAACTGCTTCAGCCAGTGAAAGCGGTATTTGAATGTCCGTCCTGCAATGGCCGATCCGCAAGTCCGGGACGCTGTTCTTCTAGGTCGTGCCAGAGAGCGTTCTTGGAGTGTCACGCGGCGGTGCCTCCATCACTTCAAATCTCAATTTTGGATCCCCCTGAAGAACAACGCTTCTATTCCTCTGTGTGGGACCACGACAGATTTGGTACTGGGCATGCCCGATCCAGGCTGGAATCCATGCAGGGATGGTCTGCTTTGGTGAACGATGACAAGCAATGGTTGATAATGGATGCAGGCAAGGTGGTGGATTCCATTGGTGGAATTGTAATGACCAATCGCAAAGATGGTTGTTTTGGACAATTGTGCAAAAAAGTTGAGGTTGATGTCAGAGCAAATGAAACAGAAGACTGGAAGAAAGTCATGGAGGATCGAGAAACTGCCATGACTGTCGATTGCAACATTGCATGGCTGCAATTTCACCAGCCCGTCTCGTCTCGCTTTGTGAGAGTGCGAGTCTTGCGCTGGGAAGAACACATTTCCATGAGGTGTGCTCTGATTCTTCATGGCAAGGCGTCCAGAGACTTAATTGAGACTAAGGATATTGAGTATAGGGTAGTACCAGATCCCAACCAACATCCACTCAAGGTTGCCATGAATTTTGTTCCAGGAGGACAACCCCATCCACCCATGCCTCCGCGCGTCTTTGGCGTGGCGATTTTGCCGAAGGAACGTTGCCGCTGGGCGGGTCGGCAGACAGATTGGACGGTGCTCGAGTTCAATGGTACTGAAGTGACGGATCCAGATGCTCGCGTCTTCACGGCGCTTCCAGGTCAGCGCTGTTCGATCCGAGTCCAATATCATGCTTGGTGGAACTACAATGGAGATGACTATTGTCCTGGATGCGTTGTACAACTCTACTATGGCATGGCCAACACTTTTTGCACTGGCGTTGTGCAACGTGGCATCGGTGACCACCACGGAGAGAGTCAGACAGAGTTTGTGGTTCCCGCAGAACCTGGAATCTACTATATTACCCAATCCATCAGCCTCATGTACAACTATGTGGACAACCTCCACGCCCATCAAAACACACCCGGAAACGCATTCGCTGTTGTTCGGGTCCTGCCGACTGCGTTCACTCCTCAGGTCTTCCCGGTCCTTTCTCGCCAGACACAGCATCAGTTCCTGTCTCTGCTGGCGTTTTCCAATCGAGAAGACAATGTCTTTTCCTCTCTGGATGCAAACTGTCTCTTTCATATCTTTTCTTTTTTGTTGGGTCAAGACGAAAACAGGGTGGGCTCTGTGCGGAATCTTCCGAGTGCTTGCGGTTCCTTTGCTACCACTGCTGTCGCAAGACGCCTCCCATGCTGCGCAGACTGCGAGAAGAAGGGCTCCGATTGCAAGAAGAAAAGAAAGTGCAAGAAGAAAAGGAAATCTGACAAATCTGACCACAAGTGGTGGAAGTTTTGGTGAGCTTCCCTTTGCCGTATGTGGGATACGTGTGCTGGGCGGAAGTGGGGGGGCGAAGTCTCGGCACAACTTTGTGATACCGGTGGAGTATCACGGGCAATGGCTCAGATGCGGCGACGTTCGTAACCGAGTCGAGTCGAGTCCTCTACACTGCGTTTTGGTTGCCCTTTCTAGTCAATCCCTCACTAATCGTAATTTTAAAAAATCATTCAACAATATCTAACTTCTAGCCTGGTGCGTTATACCGCGGTACCAATTCAATGCACGACGCGAGGTCCCAGTACAGGGCCCTTCGATCTGAGTTGGCTGAGGGATATCCTGGGAATTCTTGATTGGTCTGCCGTCGCTGGATCTGATCCGCCAGGTGGAGGGCTCTTGCTCAAGCCATCATCAGACTTGGGTCTAGCTTCCGTCTTTGGAGCCAGCTAGGTACTGTAGCTAGCTGTCGAGCCTTTTCTCAAATTCTGCAATTCTTGTGCCATCCACGCCACCACAACAGCATCATGATAATAATACTAGCTAGTAGTAAAAAGCTACACGAAATCAAATTTTGTGGCTCTGGTTTGACCCCCCGCGTGTGGAATTTTGATTCTAATCTCTTTCGCGCGCGTTCTTAGGCCTGCCATACGCTCAATTTTTCCTGGCCATTTTTCCGTAAAAAACCATGATGCCGAGGGCGACCTAAAGCACAGAATTTGGATAATTTGGCGTGGGTGATGCATTTGACTTTTACTATCGGCATCACACTGTAATCCATTGCTGCTGGAATGAATCATTTCGATAAGATTCTTGGTTGTACATGTATTTAGACCCAACGCCATGAGCATTCGAACGATGACTCTTAGGACAATCCTTCTCTTTCTTTTGTTCCTCTGCTCGGATGGAACCCCCATGAAGGGCAAAAGACGAGCTCTGAAGCAGAAGCGACGGTCGGAAAGATCGAGGTATAATTATTATCAATCACAAGAACCAAATGATCCAACACAACCGCCGCCGCCTCCTCCGCCGCCGCCGCCGCCACCGTCAAATCGAAGTGCTGGCAAAGGAAAAAGTGGAAAGGGAAAAAGTGGCAAAGGTAGCAGCAGAAGCAAGAGCGGCAAAGGAAAAGGAAAGGGATCCCGTAGTAGTAATGGCGGTGATAATGGCGGTGGTGGAACCCCAACCGATCCACCGGGACCCGGCGGATTTGAAGTTACCCTCAAAATCACCAATCTGACCTACTTGCAACCATTTAGTGCATTCCTTGTGGTCCTGCACAACCGAGATGCCGATCCATTATTCGTGCTTGGGGGCGAAGCAAACGATGAACTTGCCGTCCTAGCTGAAGATGGCAATCCAGGTCCTCTGTATTCCAAGTACAGCGGAGCCTTCGGTGTTAATTATGTGGACGTGCACGATACTGGAGCTCCATTTTTCGGAGGAGAGGTCACGTATATTACCGTACCCTATGACAGAAACTATCCTTACCTGACTATTGCTTCCATGGCTATCAATACGAATGACTGCTTTGTTGCTTTGAATGGTGTCTACCTTTCTCCCGGTCAAGTCATCGATGTCCCAGGATACGACGCTGGCACAGAGGTCAACAATGAACTATGCAGCAGCATTCCAGGACCGGCATGTCCATCTGGTTCTGGCAACACGAGATCAGGAAATGGGGAGGGCTATGTTCATATACACAGAGGCTTCAAAGGGGTCGGGGACAGGCTCTCCGAGGCTGGATTTGACTGGAAAAACCCAATGATGAAGGTGGAGGTTCACATGATGTAATAGCAATTTGTGGGACCATTGGGCAGGGACGTTGGGATGACGAGCTTTTGAGCCCGGCGCGAGGATCTCAAGCAAGTTCGCGATAGCCGGTGTCCGTGTACACGGCCGAAAGCTCAACACACAGATTGGAGCAATCTGTCCCTTCGACGAATGAATGGACAGGCTGCCAGGCCTCTCTTCTTTGCTCTGAAATCTCTCCAGAATTCGTCACTCCTCAAAAGCATTGAAGGAAACGTTGGGTTGTCTTTGACAGTACTGTGTGTTGTTCCTGTTTAAAAAAAACAAAGCTGTCTACCCTCGGGCCAGCCTCCCAAACATCGACCGAGTCAGGGGAGAACATCACATTCTCTCTCTGCCATCCTTGTCGTCGTGCACGAGAGTTGCATTGTTTGTGGAGATCGTTCTCAGGAGGCCAGTGTGGCCGGCAAGCAGACTTGACTGTGGGAAACACCTGGGCCTTGGCTCATGGGTCGTCCTCAAGCACTTCTGGTCTGAATCCATTAATAGATTTTGAGTTTTTTGTTGGAAAGACCAATTCTGGCCGCAAAGTCTATTGCACCAGAGAATCAAGCAAAGAGAATCCTGGTCCGCTTGTCACGTCGTCATGAGGGACTCACGCTTTCCATTGATCCATCGTAGATGGGTAAAACCAACCTAGGTAGACTCCCCTGAAACCTACTATTTTTCTTCGAGGGGTGCATGTAGGTCGCTGCTTACAGTCGTACTGGGCTGTGGTGGATTATGCTGTGATCTAATATGTGGGATCTTCAGCTTCGATGAGCGCAACATAAGCAGTGCTCGGATATGGAAGCTATTTCAAAATACACGGTAGATTCGATTAGTCGTTCGTCGTCTTGGGTAAGCAAGACGACGAACGATCTTTTAGCGACAGGCAGCCTGCCTCAGTAGGCGGGGGGAGGTTTCAAAAGTAGGGAATTCATCTGCAGTGATGCTTTGTGCCCTGTATTTCATACCTGGACAACCGGTACCTGAGCCATACCGGTAGCTGCATTATGTGAACGAAGCCAGATTTCGATTCCAATAGGGGTACGGTACCTGATACTGTGGCGTTGACCCGGTTTAGGTGCAGAAAAGATGATGCGGAAGAGGTGCAAGCCGTACAGTAGGCCTTTGGAGGAGGTACTGTAAGGCAAACATTTGGTCCAGCTTCTGTATTACATTCCTGAAGTTGGACAAGGAGATGTGCTTGGTGTTGGTCGTGCTCAAAGCTGGGATGGTGCTGGGCTTCAACCTTGGAGATGGTCGCGGAGATGGAACCCAGCTTTGGGATTGAATCATTCACATACCGGTAGCTGCGGTAAAATAAACATTCTTAGTAAATCTTGTAATACCATTCTCAACTCCTTTATTACCTTAGCTACTATACCTGTGTAGGATGGAGACACAATTTCTACAGGCTGCCTCGGCGATCCGCCACAGATCCAATGCCACCCGGATCATGGACAACTTTGCTAGTTTGGGTCATTCAAAGTTTCGACGGAAGCCAGCGAGACAGACATAAATGAGGCCTTTGGGTCATTCCAAGTCCCAACTCAACGCTCCGATGCCAGCCCCCGTTCTGAATGTGCCAGAGCTCATTCCCAAAGCACCATCACAAGCAAAAAGTATCTATCCATGGCCAGGCTACTAAAGAAACTTCGAGCCAAACGCAAGTTGGCGGCTTTGCAAGAGGCAGAAGCAGCAGCAGCAGCAGAAGCGGCTGAAAAGCAAGCGCAATGCCGAAGAAACGCCCGCTGGTCGCTGGTCCTTGTGGGCATCATTCTTGCAGGAACGCTTGCCTTTACCAAAGAAGGAATAACGCTCCTGGTGGAAAATGTTCAAACAATCGTTGCCAAGTCCAACTCTACTACCGCCAGTCAAACCAATCCGAAACCCATTAACATAAGTGCCTTGCCATTGCCATCCTTGGAACCCTTTGACATGAAAAAGTACGATACAATCCATTTTTGGCATCTTCGAAAGGCTGGCGGAACTTCCCTTCGAATCTACGTTGAAGCTATTGCCAAATATCACAACTTGACCTTTAATGTGGATGAAGGCATGTGCTACAAAGGACCACACAGCGACCAAAAAACTCTGCTGGTGACAATGATCAAGGATCCCGTGGCCCGAATAGTGTCTGAGTATTGGGGCGAAGGAAACGTCAACTTGACCAATCCCAGAAGTTTCATGGATTTCATTGACGATCGAAACACAACTCAACCCAAACGCATCTCAGATGACCATTGGTTTATCTGGGGATGTTCCCATAATTGTCTGACACGAATATTTGGCAATGGCCGTCCATCCAATGTGCCAGCCGATCTGTCCAAAGCCAAGCAAGCACTCGAACACGATTTTGATCTCGTTATACAAAGCAACCGCATGGGCGATCCAAGATATCAACAATGGCTCAGTCAAATACTGGGGGCTCCGAGCATCAAGCTGCCACACAGAAATCACGCCGACCGAAAACAATTCGCAGAAAACAAGATTGCGGCTCCAAAGGAGCACGAGTTGGAGCTACTGAGAAGGACCAATCAGCTGGATTATGACTTGCTAGAGTACATAATACCAAGAAGGAAGGATCTGGTAGGTGTGGTATAGCAGTTTGTGATCCCTCGCTCTCATCGGATGTTTTTGTTCTTGCACGTACGTACACGCGAACAGCCAACAACAATTCACCATTACGAACAAACAATTGTGAGATTACCTCAGCACAACCATGCCAGTCTAGCCCCCGACAGACTGGTCTCACGGCGTACAACATTACTGCAGTAGAGACTTCATTGGCAGCCTATGCCCTCTACATGACACCCGGTTGATTCATTCAATTCAATTTCTCGTGTAGATAATATTATGATTAGAAGTCTTCTTGCGGAGTATCGATGATTCAAGACAGCACATACATTTCCCTTCAAGCCTGCCTTTACGTTTGGCAAGTTGTTCCAAATATATCTAGTTCGTACGAGGCGTTCAGAACGGTAGACGACTGGCTGACTTTTAAGCAACTTTTTGCAAAAATGTTGAAAAGGGGGCATCTTTTGGCCGCCAAGGTAGCATCAGTGCTGGTACCTTTTGAACTAAAATTGCAAGGCGAAAGAAACATCAAAGACACCGACAGAAACTGGACCTCCAAGGGGATGGGCAAATGTTGCTATAGTGCTGTAGTGTACTCGATTCGATACCGTAGAAATGATACATGTAGTTTGGGTGTGAATTCCACATACTACTATCGTACGGTCCACGAAGCAGTACAGTTTTGTGCAAAAAGTAGCCAATCTTTTACTTTGGCAGGTTTGTTCGATTGGATTGCATTGGATTGCATTGAATTGGATTGGATTGCATTGTATTGGTATTTACTATGCAAATAACAGTACTTTCATGGATCCAATTGAATCCAATCCAATCCAATTCAAACCAATCCAATCCAATTGAACTCATTTGCCAGCCAAAATGCGAATTATTAATTTTTAACTGACGGTTTAGGTTGGTATTAAGTCAATTGCTCCATATTTCAATTTACCGGTAACTTTGGCGATACGAATAGTGTGGAAAGCAATGCAATGTAATGTAGCCCCATAAGCAAGTTTGCTCATCCCCCAATAACCCGCTCTAGCTAGCTCTAGCTAGATAGAGTTCCAATCTCAGCTGCTCTCTTTTTTTAAAAAGACTTTGCGAAGGTGCGTGGGAATGCGTGGGTGAACAATCAAAAATATACCCAAACTACCCAGGATTCCAGGTGGAGGGAGTTTTTCGATGTGACGTTTGCTTTTTCGTGATCTTCTTCAACTTGATGATGTTGTGATGTTGTCTCGACTGTGGACGTGCAAGCCAAGCTACAACGCATTGCAGTCTTTTCTCCTACTGGCATTGGTGTACACACATTGAAGCACTCCAAGAGGAAAGACAACACGATGAGAATATCTCGCAGAGTGTGTGTTTTCTGGGCCTTGCTGGCCACCCAAGAACTCCATGCGTTTTCAACGGTATCAAGAACCCGCCCTTTGGCAACCTCTGCTATTGCTCCATCTCGAAAAGCGGCGACCTTGGACAGTGTGGATGAAAGGATAGGCATCTCCTTGGATTTTTCGTTTGCCGACACCAACAACGTGAGCGAAGGTGGCCACTCATTTCCTGACCGGGAAGAGTTCACGGATATCCTTCTCAATGAAGAAGAATATCCCATTGGATCCTTACCCAAGGAGGTGGTGGGATCGGCTTTCGAAGTCTTGTTCCAATGGGGAAAGGTCGGGACGGTGGAAGGAGCTGAAATGGTGGAGCGATTAATTGAACGCTTTGAAAAAGAAGGAGATCAGATAGTCAACAATCGGCATTACACAGTGGGGGTGTTGGCATGGGCCAAAGTGGGAAGTTTCAGCGCCGCTAAAAGGGCAGAAAAGCTTGTGGCGAGAATGGAGGAAATTGGGACAAGCAATCCATTTGTAGCTCCTACACGCACAACCTACAGCATTGTCGCTCGCGCTTTCGCCGCTGCGAATAAACCCAACCGAAGTGTCAAGGTGATTCACTTTATGGAGAAAACGCCCAATTTATTGCCCGCGTTTGGTGACTACAATGCGCTGCTCTCGGCATACGCTCGGTGTGGAGATGCACGAGGTGCAGAAGATGTACTCAAAAAGTTGGTGGATCTCTGCAAGGAAACTGGCTCCAATGAATACGAGCCTGACATGCATATCTATCACAGAATTCTGGACGCATGGGCTGTCTCAAATGACCGTTTTGCGGCAAAACGTGCCACACAAATATTACAAGCGTTGCACACCCAAGCGGATCAGGGAGAGCATTCCCTTGAACCTGACGCTAGAACTTACACTGGTAAGTACCAACCAATGATGCTACCTCCGCGCATTTTTTCTCTAGCCACCAACTCACACTGTCGTCTTTTTCCGCATACTTGCTTAGCTGTCATCTCTGCAATTGTGCGCAGTGACGATAAAGACCGAATACAGCAAGCTGAAGCTCTGTTCGAGCAAGCTTTAGAAAGAGGAATCACACCCGATTGCTATTTGTATTCTGCAATGATGCAAGCCTATGCCAATGTCGGTGCAGTCGAAAAGACTGAAGAAATACTCAAGGTTTTGGAGGAACAAGGGATCGCGAACAGCGTTCCCTACAACTCGGTTATCAAAGCCTGGAAAAGTAGCTTCGAACCTGATGCAGCAGAGAGAGCTGAGAAAGTTCTGGAACGGATGGTTGAGCTTGGTATTGCGGACAGAATTAGCTACACGACAGTAATGGCAGCGTACGCTAAGCGGGGTGACCTGGATTCGGCACTCCGGGCGGAATCTCTCTTGGAGCAAATGCAGGAGTTGCACATTCAAGGGGACAAGAAAGTCAAACCCAACCTTCAGACTTACAACACAGGTAAGCAGAAACACCTGATCCGTACCATATGCGCCAGGGATCCTTGCTTGAAACATCGGGCTGACAATGACGTTGCCGCCGCTTTCCAAAAGTCCTCAATTGCTGGACCAAGTATGGTGACGTTTTTCGTGCTGAGAAGATTCTGGACCAGATGGAGGATATGAGCCGAAATGGTCAATTGCAGTCCAGCCCCAACTGTGTCTCATACACAACTGTAATCAATGGGTAAGGCCGTTTTGCGTCGTGGTATTTGATTTAGATGGCTCCCATCTGATCTATCGTTCCTGATCTCTTTTCTTTTTCTCGGTCGGAATGTCACGGCACAGCTGGTGGAGATCAAAGAAGAAGGAAGCCCCGGCAAGGGCGGAACGATTGTTCAAGAGAATGACAGACAGTTACAAGGCTGGAAATAAGTCTGCTCGTCCCAACCACATCAGCTATGTTAACCTCATCAATGCAATTGCACGGTCAAGAGAGGAAGAGGCAGCTCAGCGAGCAGAGGATGTTCTATTTGAAATGTACGATCAATTCAAAGAGGGCCATACTGACATCAAACCCAATGGAAGGCTGGTGGGCATGGTGATGGACAGTTGGCAAAAGTCAGGCAGTAACAATGCTGGAGAGAAAGCTGAAGCACTCTTGGACTGGCTGAACAGCCTGTACGAGGAATATCAGGACAAGGACTTTCAGCCAAACGAGTTCATCTGCAGTTCTGGTGAGTACTGTAGTCCAGCAATGGGTGCTCTTTTGTCTTGCGATTAACGAGCCACTAACCAATCCCTTGTAAACGTTGTGAAATACAGCGATATCGGCATGGAGCAAGTCTCGGTGTTTCGGAAAGGCAGAGCGAGGTAAGTGCGCAACTTTTGGAGACAGCGAGCTAAACCCTCTTATTTGTGGCGTTTGCTCAGCATTTTCCGATGTCTGTTGTTTCAGCGCGTGGAATCCTCGAAAAGATGAAAGCAATGCATGAGGCTGGTATTATTGCGTCCCCTCCGAATACGCACTGTTACACGGCTGTGATCAATAGTTGCGCCTACTGTATGGACGATGCAGCCGAAAAGAGTCGAGCTCTATCGATCGCGCTTGGTACCTATAAAGAGCTCGAACGCACTCCTGCCCACGGAAAAGCCAACCATGTGACTTACGCAACAGTCATTGCCGCACTCACCAATCTGCTTCCACCGAGTGCTGAGAGGACAGTCGCCAATGTATCCGTGTTTAAGCGATGCTGCGCAACCGGGCAGGTTGATGCCTTGGTTTTGAGGCGGCTGCAAGGAGCGCTGACCGCGGAAGAGATGAAAGCAGTTTTGGCTTCTGGTGGCGATGGAATAGTCACTGCTGACGGCACGGTGAACTTGAACAAGATTCCAGAGGCATGGCAGCATGCCGTGGACCGGTAACTTACCACAAGCAGCGTGCAAGGGAATACAGTCCGCTGGTTATGACTTGACAAAGAATGTACATACAACCGCTGCAGGAAGCCTATCTTTGATCTGACCTTTGCGCTGGTGTTGTCTGATCAGCTTAGCACGAGAAAAAGATGCAAAGCAAAAACATGGCATTGAGAAAAAAAGAACATCATCAGCGCGAGTTCTCAGCAAATGGATCCACGTTGTCTAACACGAAACAAATCCAGCAAGCTTCGCGGTTCATCCTCCACTAGCTAGCTAGCTATGCTACATGATATAACTAGATGATAATCAGCAAAAAACGCGCCAATAATAGGTAGAGATGCCGCGTAGCTGTTCATAATGAAGTTCAAGACATCTTCATCAATGATAGACGGAATGTAGCGAAGAAGCAGTGGTTGATCTTTTATTCGACCCGTCTCAGTCGACGAGCCCATCATTTATTTGGGCAGAGAAGGCTCTCTTCGATACCTGGTACATCTCGCAATGTGGGCCAAACATTGTCAAAACCGGAGGCAAGTTAACCAATGGTACCTGCCGTACTTGGTTGGTTAAAAAGTATTGAGTTGTTTAGTCTACTAGCTAGCTAGTACCAGCTCAGAGACTCTACTTCAGCAATGTAATCCCATCCGGCCTCTCAAAGCAGAAACTGTTGAGGGCTTGCCCAACGGCGAGTGAGAATCTCAAGTTCAATTTGTAAACCAGACGGAAAAGGCGATCACTCCACATACCTTAGAACTTGCGCAGCTGACCAATAATTTCATCTATTTCAGTGTAATCCGACTTTGTCAACAAATGCTTGAGTATCTTTGCTTTGTCTGCAGGTCGACTAGCAATGGCATCCAAACAGCTGCTTGTGTGGTTGGCAAATGGATGTTCACCTGTCACCACTGTCTTCTCTGGAACCAGCCCAAACTGTTTCGCGTAGACAAGCTCACAAACACACCACATGCGGCTAAAGTTGCATTTGGAATCATCAGACAACGGCCATCCGGACCAGTACTGTGTCAGTCATCATCCTGTGCTTACCTGTAAAGATCTGTCAACGGATTTCGAACCACAACAAATTGAGAAGCTGTTCTTAGCGCTGACACAAAAGGTGATGTATCAATTCCTTGGCCGATTTGCTCTTCAATGAGCTTGTCCTGGCGCAGTGCCAGTGCGCATATCCAGAATGTTGGTTTCTTCAGATGCTTTTTGAATGGATCCAGAAGAGACCCGACAAATGCATCAAACGGTTCGTCCCAACAATGTGTGACAAAATTCTGTGCCCGGAGTCCCTGAGGGTTCAGTGCCAGGGCATATGAAGTCTTGGATTCTTTACATCTCGGAATGAGAATCTGATGGTTGACATCATGCATGGTTCTCTTGGTGGCGTCAGCTCCAAAGAGCTTGGATGCTTCGGCTCGCAGCCTCTCGAGCTGTTCATAGGATATGCCCCACATAACAGGGTTTTCAATACTGTCATGTTCCTGTCGGGGAGCGGTATTCTGAAGAGTCTGAATATACTGTTTCTCACGTCTGTACGTCTTTGCTACTTGATGAGGTGTGTTGCCTTCCATGTTCCTAATGGTATGGTCTGCTCCATGTTGGAGCAGGAATTTAATGGTTGATTCCCAATGCTCCGAACAGAGCGCCAAATGAAGGGGAGTCCACCCATCTCTCGTTTGGGAATTGACAGTTGCCCCATGATTTACTAGTTTCTCGACAACATCAATCATACCATGTCTGCTTGCATGGTGTAGTGGTGTAAAGCCATGCTTGTTTGCAGAATTGATATTGACACCTCCAAGATCCAGAAATGTCTGGATTGCAGATTGTCTTCCATTCCAAACAGCAAGGCTCAGTGGTGTTTCGCCATCTTCATCTCTGCAATTCGTCCTTGATCCTGCCTTCAGCAACAGTTGGATGATGCCCACAAAGCCACCAAGAGATGCATAATGAAGAGGAGATAGTCCATTTTTCATCTGACAGTTGGCATTTGCCCCTTGCTGCAGTAATCTTGCACTGATCCTGTTGCCCATATTTGCTGGCACAGTGTAGTGGTGTGTACTGATCTTTGTTGGGAGCATTGATGTCAGCACCATGTTCCAGTAGCACCAAAATGGCAGCTTTCCATCCCTTCTGACTGGCCAGATGGAGTGGTGCCTTACCATCATCATCGCTGCAATTTGGCCTTGCTCCTGCTTTCAGCAACAATTGGATGATGCCCACAAAGCCACCAAGAGATGCATAATGAAGAGGAGATAGTCCGTTTTTCATCTGGCAGTTGGCATTTGCCCCTTGCTGCAGTAACTCTTGCAGTGTTTGTTTGTTTGTCACAAAGATTAGTAGTTGTTATTTTTGTCTACTGCGCCGAGGGCTTGCTTTTACTTCACTCAGAATGACAAGGGGCGCTACTGGCCCCTTGTTCGAGTAGAAGGGTCACGGGCTCGCTAAGGCCCCTAAGGGTGTTCCATTCAATGTTGGTTTCTGTAGGAGTGCACACTAAGGCCTTCCTTGGAGTGTGGCGCGCTAAGGCCATGTTCTAATGTTGTTGTTTGGTTCTGAGGAGGTGGTTCGAGGGATGGGAGATGGAGAGGCTAGAGTCGGCCCGTGGCACACCATTGATATAATCTTGAATGCCTTCAGTCTTCAGTGATTTGGTGGGCGCGTCTAGTTTCTCTATCGCGTATAGTGTGTATCCATTGGAGCCAAGACTGTTTGTAGGGCTTGGGTTTGGTGAGGAGAGAGATGAGTGAGTGTTTGAAGTAGTTGTGATAACAGGAGGGGAGTCCCCTGGTACCTTTGATATACTCAGTGGCAATTGCTTGGTGTAACAGGTTGAGGGCTAGTTTCTGACGGGGCATTTTGTCGTCGTGTAGAATTTTGTTCCGATGTTCCCATAAACTCCAGGCCATCATGTGGGTTTTGCGAAGGATTTTGGAAGTCCAAGTGGTACCAGTGATGGAGTATCCCTCGCGTTTGTAGAAGGAATCCATATACTGGGCAAAACGAATGGAGGGGAGACCTTCCAAGAAGTTCTTCCATCCGATCCGGTCTTGGGAGACGATAAGTTGAGTAAGGGTGGCATCCCACTGGGGGTTGGGGAGCAATGGGAGGGAATTGCGCCAACTGTTCAGGCGATCAACTAGTGCTATGTGAAGGTCAAGGGGGGTGTGAAGCTCTCCAAAAGCAGAGGCCAGCTCTAGCAAGTGAGCGCTCCAGACTTCATCAGATCCCTCAGCATGACATTGTAGGACATGAGTGGTGTCTTCTGGTGCTCCACAGCGTGGGCAATGGTCATCGTCCTGTTTTTGCCAGTGTTTGAGGGTAATGCCCACTCCACAGTTCTCAGAGGCGTGTTTGGTACACCACCTGCGCATGCCCA